AGCAGCCACGGCCAACAAGCACGGCTGGCGCGCGGACGAAAGGCCGACCTGAAAACCAGGCGGGCGAGAGGGGGCCCGGCAAGAGGCTGCCGAGGTCGGCCAGCCTGGCACGAGGCGCGGCAAAGCGGTGGAGGGTGCCACAGGCGGCGCCTGAACAAAACCTGCAAAAGGCAGGCGCACCCCCTGCCAAAGCGGGGGGGTGCAGCGGCTGGGTAAGACACCCTCCAGCAGGGGACAAAGCGATCCAGGGGCCAACGGGGGGCGGCAAGACCGGCCCGCCCGAGCCACGCGCAGCAGCCGACTCCTGAAGCGAGAGCTGCCACCGCTAGACCTGGGCCGCGACAGGCCGGGCGGAGAGCACTAGCGCAGCCCCGGGCGGCAGCCGGAAGCACGCAGGGGGGGGGCACCGAATAAGTGAAGCATTGCGGATAAAACGGGGGGGGAAGGCGCCGGCCGGGACGGCGGCTGGGATCGGAGGGGCTGGTGGCCAGACGGGCCGCCACCGGCCCCGCAGAGGGGATGACTCAGAACAGGTCAAAGCAGACGCGCCTGCCGCGTCGGACCTACAGAGCTACCAGCGGTGGCTGCGCGCCCCAGACCACCGCTGGCGAGTGGGGTCGCTGCTGGGCCAAGAGGTGTCGGCAGGATGCTTACCTTGCCCCTGCGGCGGGGGACCCTTCCATTTGCTCTTGGCTGCCTCAGCGCTTTGCCTCCTCGTTTCCACTTCGCGCTCCCACTCGGCGCCCCAGTCGACGTGGACGCCCTTGTACCTGCAGAGGGCGCGGACATCGTAGCTGGCCGGGCTAAAGTCAGACACTAGTTCCAGCCGGGTTGCCACAACACCTTTCGCCGCGGCTTGTAGTAGAGCTGATCCGTGGCGTCGCGATGAGGGTTGCAGTCGCCAGGGGGAACAGGATTGCGAAGTGGAGGGTCAACCTGACGCCCTGGCGGGGTCCGCTCCACTGCATCACTCCCGCGCCCCCTTCTGGAAGCTCCCGCGCTGCGCTGCTCATCGGTGCAGGGGCTCTTGCGCACAGGCTCTTCCCCGCTGCCTCGCGGGGCGCCTCCGTCGGACGGCTCTGCCTGCAGCGCCTGCCCGCGGTCGGGGCTGGGAGATGGGCGCGTATCACTGGGCGGCTGCGGAGAGCAGATCGGGCTACGGCGCCTCTCGCCATTGCTGAACGCAGGGCTGCCCGGGGGGGGTCGCTCCTGTGGGCTCCAGTCGCAGCCGGCCGAGTGGGAGCGAGCGCGCGACGCTGAGGGGGGACTGGAGCTGCTGTCGCGCCGATTGCGCCCTGCCTCTTGGGGGTCGTTGAGCGCTCCAGACAGGCGCACGCTTCCATCCTCGCTGCCACTGGGCGTCGACCTGGACCTCCGAGAGGGAGGGGCAGGGTCGCAGTCGAGCCGCCTGCTCGACTCGCGCCCTGGGGGGCTGAGGGCGGCGGCAGCCCGATCCTCCGCGCGGGGCACGGAGCGGGGTCGTTGGGTTGGCCACTCCCTCCGTCCACCCTGGCTTCTATGCACTGAGGGTGGGCAGGCGCAGCCTGCGGGGGAGCACTGCTGCAAGCGTCTGCAAGTGTCTGCCTCCTTCACGCCGCAGTTACAGGAAACTGCGGGTAGGCGGGCGGCTGAAGCGTGCGTCCTGCATGAATCGCGAGGAAGTCTCAGGCGATAGCGCGATTCCAAAAAAATCGTCTGGATATCCGCAACGAGAGCGTGAGTCCTGAGTGTCGACGGCGCGGCGTCTGAATAATTGGCGAAGAGAACCCACGCGAGAGCACGATTCCTGCATAAATGATGACGAAGTCCCGCGCGAGAGCGCGATGTGGGAATACACTGTGGGGAAATATCAAGCGGGAGCCGTTGTTGTTATAGTTCGATGCCGAACAGCCTAGTTTGGCGGCACCCTGCTTCCCCTTGTAAGAAAACAACAAAAACAAAAAAACTAAACAAACAAAAAATGTGCGAGCCCCGGGAGAAGCATATTAACTGAAAAATGCACAAAAAAATTACCGGGCAGGGGGATCAATAATACGCATTATCTGGACATGCGACCTCAACAACAACGACAACAACAACAACAACAACAACAACAACAACAACAACAACAACAACAACAACAACAATTACTAGCACGTGGGGACACACCGTTCTCACCAGCGCCAGGGTTTTCATAGGAGGCGGGCAATACCCCCACTTTGTGGGGGGCCGGTTCAAGCTCTACCAAATTTCCAAACGACTCTTCGCCACCACCCACACCCAGCTTCCCGCCCTATGACGTTCGGACACTTCACTTCGTGGCATGCGGACGACCGTGGCTACTATTCAGGGCCCCGCGGCCGACGACGACGGCGTGCGCGCGCGAAGAAAAAACGAATGTGTCCCGCATGGTATTATTTGACAGGGATGATGGCCCTGGCAGGTGCGCAACCGTTGTTGCAGAAGTTCGAAAAAGTTGCTCGCAAAAGCCCGTTTGACAGAAATGATTAAAAAGTGTTGGGTTTCCTACGAATCCGCAAGAGCGCGCGGGATGAAATTTTGACAATTTTTTTTTGAAAAACCATTGGTTTTTTGATGTTTTTATGTTAAAATCGCTACGAAAACTAAGGTTTTGGAAGGATTTCGTCTTGCGCGCGCGAATGTCCACTTTACCTTATTTTTTGCAAGGGATTCTTGAAGTTTGGTTATGTTAGAACAAGAAATGTCCACTTTAGCTTATTTTTTGCAAGGGAAAACCGATCGTAACAACACAACCGGATCCGGACCCCCGTTTTGCCTGAGACTTCCTCACGAAAATGATGAAAATGAGGCTGCGGCCTAGGCGCGGCGGGGGGGTCGTGCACCAGGGGCCCCAACAATAATTATTCTTAAGAAGGAATAATGTTCAACAACAACAACAACAACAACAACAACAACAACAACAACAACAACAACAACAACACCAACAACAACAACAACAACGACAACAACAACAACAACAACAACAACAACAACAACCAAACCCACAACCACAACCACAACACCAATCAAAACCACAACCACAACCGCAACAACAGCAAAAATAACAACAACAATCATTTTGTGGCTGTTCACTCTTATCTGCTCGCGTGCCATTCAACACGTGTATTCCAAACCCTCGATATATATATATATAAAAATGATGGAATAAATAAACACATACATGCATTTCTTACCTGCAACATGTATATCGTGCAGCCCCTTAGGCAGGGAAAGAGAGGACGGATGGAAGGAAGGAACAAGGGCGAAGAAAGAGGATGGAGCACGAGAGAGAGCAGGAGGGGGCCAGGAGCAGAAAACACGTGGCAGAACCAGACGGGCAGATCGGGCGGGTAGACCCGAACGGGCGGGTCGGGAAGGCGGGCCCAGGTGGCCAGGTCGAGCAGGCGGGTTGCTGAAGCGTGCGTCCTGCATGAATTGCGAGGAAGTCTCAAGCGATAGCGCGATTCCCATATAAATCGTAAGGAAATCCACAGTGAGAGCATGATTCGTAAGTGTCGAGGGCGCGGCGTCTGAATAAATGGCGAGGAAATCCCACGCGAGAGCGCGATTCCAAATTCATAAGTCCCGTGCAAGAGAAGAGGGGGGGTCAACAATAATTAGTCTTACCGATCTAGAAATTAGACTTCAACAATAAAAAACAACAACAAAACAAAACGAACATACAAAAAGAACCGTACAGAATCCTGCCACTCTGTGGACAGAGAAGCAACGAGAATCCGTGAGAGAACACCACATTAAAAAAAACGAAGCAACCAACACCTCCCGAAGAACAAACAACTATAAATCAGAAGAGTCTCCAACTCGCGCCATGAGGGAAACGCTCTGACAAGGCAACTATTCGTACAACAAAAACTTCGAAAGTCAACCAATCTGCTGCTCGCCCGCTGCCCTCGCAAGATGCCCCAACATTGCTTCAAGACAACCCCCAGACCAGACACTCAAAAATCTGCCGACCATGTCGGCGTGTGTGACGGGCTTTTCTGTTTGAGTCATCGTCGTCGTCGTCGTCGCTCCCCCCTGTCCCTGTCCGTGGGCCCTCCTCGTCAAACGTCCCAGCCGAAGAGAAATCGAGCAACGTCGTAACCGAGTCGAAGGGAAGCTCCTTCCCGACGGGGGGGGGAACCCGGGGTAGGGTCCCCTAAGGGGGGTTCCGGGGCGGCTCCTGGGGAGGGTCCTGGGGGGGTCTGGGGGGTTGTGACCCCCCTCCCAGGAGACCCCAAAATCGAATCGATAAGTCGGATCGGCGATCGAGATGAATCGGGTCGGTGGAAATCGGCAGCCGACTCGGGAAAAGTCGAATCGGCGGAAGTCGGCAGGCTAGCACGAATCCAATAAGACATCGCAGCCCGCATCGGAATCCCGAATCGAATCGAATCGGAACCGGAAGCCATCGAAATCGAATCGAATCGGAGGAATCGAAATGAGCCCTGCCGCCCCCCCGTGGGGGAGCACCCCTCCATGGGAGAAGTTTTCCCCTTGCGATTCCTCGCCTCCCACACGCCTCGGGCTCCACATTCAGGGTCGGCGGCACCGGCCGCAGGCCTTTCACGACAGTCATGACATAGCCGGCAGCGGAGGGCGAAGCCCCCACGGACAACAGGGGGGACAGACAAGCGCGCTCCACGACTCACAAGGTCACTACTCGCAAATGGCCCGGGACCGCCGAAGGGGATCTGCGATCCATGACATCGCGGCAGACGTTTGTTTTCAGACCTTTTGCGAGCAGGCACTTTGCGTTCAGCGGAACACGCTCGGTGAGGGGGAGGAACGGTTGCCTCCCCCTGCCCCCGATCAAATGTTGGTTGGTAGCGCCAGCGGGGCGCAGGATTTCGGCCAGTCGGCAGATCGAAGCATCGCGGCACAGCCTGCCAATACCAAGTTGGGGGCGCGGGGGGTGTTATCCAAAATCAAGATACAAGGTGCAGGATTTTGACCATCAACCGAAGGAGGAGGGAGGAGGCGCGGACGCGCCGAAGCGC